CTACCAACATCTTTTTGACAAGGCAAAGGCATCAATTCTGCCAAAGCACCAGCCTTATGACCATGAGATACCACTCGCAGAAGGCTCAATGCCTCCGTACGGCCCTATCTACTCTCTATCTGAATTAGAGCTGAAAACTCTCAGAGAATACCTAGATGAGAACCTTAGTTCTGGCTTTATCAGACCTTCTTCCTCACCAGCAGGAGCTCCCATTCTCTTTGTCAAGAAGAAAGATGGCTCCTTGCGTCTCTGTGTTGATTATAGGGGCCTTAATGCAGTCACTGTTAAAAACAGATATGCTTTACCCCTTATCCCTGAGCTCATAGATAGGCTCTCTTCAGCAAGGATCTTTACCACGTTAGATCTCAGGGGAGCTTATAACCTGATACGCATCAAGGAAGGTGATGAGTGGAAGACAGCATTCAGAACACGCTATGGTCATTTTGAATACCAGGTAATGCCTTTTGGGCTTGCCAATGCACCTGCTTCTTTCCAAGCTCTCATGAATGATATTCTAAGACCTTACTTGGATATCTTTGTTGTTGTCTACTTAGACGACATTCTTATATACTCTTTAGACACTCAAGAGCATGTTCTACATGTTAGACAAGTCTTAGAGAAGCTATCTCAAGCACAACTCTTTTGCAAACTTGAGAAATGTCTTTTCCATATGTCTCAAGTTGATTTCTTAGGACATAGAATTTCAACAGAAGGCATTCAGATGGACCCTGAAAAGACAAAAGCAGTACAAACGTGGCCTATTCCTTCCAGCATTAAAGAGGTTCAGTCTTTCCTTGGGTTTGCCAACTATTACAGGAGGTTTATACCAAGATATACATCCTTGGCTTTACCCCTTACTCAATTACTTTACAAGGACACTTTGTATCACTGGGATAAGACACAGCAAGATGCTTTCGATGCTCTTAAAGGAGAATTTAAAGAAGGGAAAATGTTACTACACTTTAACCCCTTGAAACCTGCCACTCTTGAGACAGATGCCTCAGATTTTGCCATTTCTGGAATCTTATACCAAGCTCCAAAAGACAAACAAGAAGAGCTACAGCCTGTGGCATTTTACTCAAGAAAGCTATCAGCAGCTGAACAAAACTATCCCATTACAGACAAGGAACTGCTTGCCATAGTATGTTCTCTAAAGCATTGGAGATGCTACCTTGAAGGGGCAAACTATCCTATCACTATTTACAGTGACCATTCAAATCTCTTGACCTTTACAACCACTAAACAGCTCAATCGACGACAAGCAAGGTGGTCTGAACAACTAGGAGGTTTTGACTTTGTTATAAAACATGTCTCAGGGGCCAAGAATCAAAGAGCAGATCTCCTCTCAAGAAGACATGACTACCAAGATTCTGCTAAAACTAGCAATACAAAGGCTCTGCTAGACTCAGCAAAGCTTATAGCAGCATCTTTAAGCAACCCTAGTACTACAGAGGACTTAGGGGTAAACTTATCCCCTCAAGACTAAGTTGCCCCCATTACCTCTTCTCAGGAACCAGAGACCTTTAAAGACTATACACCCTCAGCAACACTTCTTAAAGCATTCAAAGATGCTTACAACCATGATCCCTTTGCGAAAAGAACTTTGGAATACCTCCAGAAGAAAGGTTCCTCTCTTGAGAAAGTTGGACTACAGAATTTCTCAAAAAATCAGCATGGACTTCTCTTATTCAAGAACTATATCTATGTCCCAAGGGATAAACGATTACAGCTACACCTCCTACAGCAGTTCCATGATGCTCCAGCTGCAGGGCACTTTGGCTTTGCAAAAACTTATGAACTTCTAACAAGAAAGTTCTACTGGCCTAGTCTAAGGACTACTCTTCAAGACTATATATCTTCTTGCACTACTTGCAACTTGAACAAACCTACACGGCAAAAGCCCTATGGCCTCTTGCAGCCTCTACCTATACCAGAACGCCCATGGGACTCCATATCCATTGACTTTATAGTCAAGTTGCCTCCTTCTATCCCAAAAGGGGGTGCTACCCCTTATGACTCTATCCTTGTGGTGGTAGAAAGGCTCACAAAAATGGCACACTTTGAGCCTTGCAATGAGACTATCACAGCTTCTGAACTTGCGTGGCTATTCCTCAAGGTGGTCTTTAAATATCATGGAATTCCTGGACACTGGATCTCAGATAGGGGAGCAGTTTTCACTTCAAACTTTTTTAAGGAGTTCTCTAAACTCTTAAACATGGAACAACGCTTCTCTACAGCTTATCACCCTCAAACAGATGGCCAGACAGAGAGAGTCAACTCTGTACTTGAACAATATCTAAGAATTTATACAAACTATGCTCAAGACAACTGGGCAGATCTTCTCCATCTTGCAGAATTTGCTTACAACAACACAGTCTCTAACACCACAAAAGAGACACCTTTCTATGCAAACTATGGTTATCACCCTAGGTTTGAAGTGGCAGAACTGAATTGCCCTGAAAATTTCAAAAACCCTTCTGCTACTGAAAGAATCATCTACCTTAAGGGCCTCCAGGACTATCTCAAGGTTCAAATACAGCGTGCACAAGACGAGCAGGCTCAGGCCTTTAACAGGGGGGTGGTTGCACCACAATTCAAAGTTGGTGATCAAGTCTTTTTGTCTAGAAGACATATCACAACTACTAGACCTTCAGACAAACTTGATACTAAAAGACTTGGACCTTTTAAGATCACAAGGACTATTGGCAAGAATGCTTTCGAGCTTGCATTACCACCTACTTGGACTATCCATAATGTCTTCCATGCATCTCTCTTGTCTAAGGCACAAGAAAGTTCCTTAAGACCACTTCAGTCTCCTCCACCTCCTGTTCTGATCTTGGATCAACCAGAATATGAAGTAGAGTCTATCCTTGACAAAAAGACACTTAGAGGTCAGGACTACTTCCTCGTTAAGTGGAAAGGCTATCCTACAAGTGACAACACTTGGGAGCCTAAGAGAAATCTAAAAAATGCATCTAAGCTCATTCTAGAATTTCTTTCTAAGAAAGCCAACTGGCTAAAGGGCAAGCAGACAGCCAACAAACGTCCTTAAAAGGGGGATCATGTCATACTGACATTCGTTGCACTCAGTTTGCTATCAAACTCAAGAGCAAACTTAGAAATCTCCTCCTCAAACCTACAAGTCACCATACATATCTTGGCTTATCACACCAACAACAGAAACAATACTACTCAACGATTGCTGCAAACTCTTCTACTACATCTGTTTATGCTACATACATCACGGCATATCATTTGGACACTCATTGAACAAGTTATTAAGAAAATCTCCTCCTTAAGGGGGTGAGCCAATACTACCACATGGCATATCTCTACCAACTAGAGGCCTAGGAACATGAACGATAGCTCTAGAAGCTTCTACAACCCTCTATGATTCATTACACGTCATCGCTCCTTAGTTACCCACAAGATTGGTTAAGTTATGACATAATTTGTCTATAGGTACTCTGACCTTGGACCTCCTTTCACTTCCTATAGGCTAGGAACCCAAGAGATGGTTCTATGGGATTCTCTTACGTTCACTACATGATTAGCAAGCTAGTTGTGGGTCGCACTTGATTTCTAATACATTTACCAAGCCTGGTTAGTCATGGAAAGTCATGGAAAATAAGAGAACTACACTCCTTTGGCATAAATAGGATTGCCCTTTCCTTAAGAAAGGGCAAGCAGGCAATACAGTAAATCGACTAGCACATACTTCTACGTCTTTTCCAAGCTTCCAAGCATTGATCTTGTTATTCTCTGTTTTTGAAAAGTCAGTGAGGTGCTAACCTCTGACTTACCCCTGAGTTCTCAGACTCAACATTTGTTGCAACTTGTCTAAACCACTTCACCACATCATACACCTGATTGCTGCGTTGTGGAATAGTCTAAGCTACAACCCTTTGGCTCTGTTTCCTAAGACAGTGTGTTGTCTTAGTAAATTCATCCCTTCCTTGGGTGGCTAGATTCTCATATCTGGTGCACCCACCATTACAATAGGGAAGGCTCTAGGGTAATTTGGTGTTATAGAGTTCTAACGCTATCTAAATCCAAATTAGGATTAAACTTAGAGTTAGACCTTGCTATTACTACAGAGAGGTTAATATAAATATTACGATGTCTCAAATACGACTATCTACAAGTGCTTCCGCAAAAGCACAATCATCAAAAACCCGATCCAACTTCCCCTTGAGCACATTCCGCCTCTTACTGACCTTTACAACCAAGTACAACAGCACGGCCAAATTCACGATGCGATGGACCTTTCAAACTTTCTAAACCCAGCGGAGGAGACAATACAAGAGGGTATACAAGATAGTGAGGGGGATATAGTACTACAAGAGGTCATTGAACAATATATCCAGCCTCCTAATGAAGGTCAAGATGATGACGATGGGGAGGAGCTCAGACTGCCGGTGGTTCATTCTACGCAGGGCAGTTCTACAAGCCCTCCAAGTTCTGATTGACTTTACGGAAACTGGGAATAGTGGCATAAGGGAGCCGGCAGTTACGCTCCGTTCTTTAGAGCATATGGAAAGGGAATTAGTTGTCAAGAGGGCAAATGAGGGCATTCAGGGCACATTGGACGTTTAGCTTATGTAATGGTTTGATTACTCGATATTCAGTATATCTCGATATTATCTAGAGGAATTATTATATCGACTTATCGCGTGAGAACTGTAGTAGGGATTTTGACGCGTTAAAAAGGTACAGACAAGCCTACGCGTACCCATGCTCCAACCCATACCCAACCCCCGGTCATCCCACGACGCACTCACAAAACTTATGAACAACACCTCCGTAAATTAGACAGGAAAGTGGGACCTTCAGTGTGTTGGACCGTTAAGGTGTGCGTGCCGATCCATGAAATTAATTTTTAAGCACTTGGGGGGCGAAGATCTACATTCTTGTCGATCAACTAAGTACAGTAAGGTGATAACGCGAGTGAAATGTCTCGGTTTACTGTAAGCCCCTGAATTTCTGTGCTATGCTTGTGAAAATCCATGCGGATGTACTCCGTACATACAAGTACAAGCCCACCGCACTTCTTGAGTCGTCGTCGTCGTCATCGCCAACCATCGTCTCATCTCACGGTCTTCACCGTAGTCAACTTGGTTGATACATCTACAACCTGATGTCCGACCCCCAGGCGGCAGCGGCCATAGCAGAGGATCTTCGCGACTTCAATACCGAGTTATGGACGCTCTATGCGTTCGGCGTCGCTATAACTAGTCTCAGGACATTTGCTCGGGTGAAGGCCGTAGGCTTTAGGGATCTTGGAGCTGATGACTTTATCGTCTGGATTGCTATTGTGCGTTTTTAATGTCCTCTCTTACTATCGACAACGCTAACCCAATTTTGCAGTTGCTATATACCACACAGTCGACTCTGGCGTACTTCGCCGTCAATCACGGCCAAGGTCTTGCGAATAATAGCATGACAGATGGCCAGCGAGCTGCGTTAGATGTTAATTCTGAGGAATATGGACTTCGGTATGTATTCTGTGAGTGGAGTGGACCGCAACGGTTACTAACGTCCTGCCAGAGTGTTCGGTTCCAAAATCCAGCTGACAGGCTGGACCTGTTACTGTTGCTTGATTTTCACGCTTAAGATGGCAGTACTTGTTTTCTACGTGCGACTTATGGTATGTCCACCGCTATCAACTTTTGATCATTGTTAATTTGTGGACTGTACAGGAGGGCCTCAGCAATAAATTCCGAATTCGCATCTGGGTAGGGTTTGGGATCGTTCTTTCAACCTTTCTCGCATCAATTATAACAATATATGCGGCTTGCCGGCCGCTCCATAAATACTGGCAGATCAACCCAGATCCTGGCAGTGAGTTGATTTGCATTCATGCTGCCCCGGCAATTGCTAACACTCTTGTAGATGTGTGCCAGGGTGCCATCGCCAGACCGATTGTCTGGGTCACTTTTATCTCGAGTGTGCTCACTGATATCTACCTCATCATGATACCCATTCCGATGCTTTGGGGCACGAAGCTGCGGATGGCAAAGAAGATCGCCATGACCATGGTGCTTGGTGCAGGCCTGTTTGTCCTCGTTTGTTCTCTTCTGAAGACCATCTTCGTCATAGTGGTGAGTCTCAATGCTGCGCACATCCGCCAATACCTTCTAACTCACCCGTAGGATGCCGAACATGGCGCCGAGCTTGCTGGCAGATGGGGCACACGCGAAGCCTTCGTCTCAGTTATCACCACCAATGTCCCCATGATATTCCCCCTCGTCAGGGCCTGGCTCAAACCACTACTCGGCAGTGGATTATTCTCATCCCACTCGCCATCCAAGAATCCCGTTGGCTTCCGAACAATCGGCGGAGGCTACGGCGGCTCCAACAAGACTGGTGGTAGCCGTGGACGTAATAAGTTGGGTCCGTATGCAGCCAACGGCCTGTCAGTCAGCGAGAGCGAGGAACGGATTTTCCAGAATGTGAAGATGCAGAATATAAGTATTAATTCGGAGCCGGTGTCGGAACTTCAGCGACCGAAGGCTATTGTGGTCAATACGGAGTTCCGCATGACTGAGGAAAGATATATGCAAGACGGCGAGAATAATTCTGGGCGTGGTAACAAGGCTTAATTGCTGTAGTCTTTGGAACGCTGGGTGTAATTGGAGTTTTGGGGGGGAGGGAGTCCGGATGGTTCACCGTTTTATAGTATATAACCATAAATATAATGGTAAATATGATTTATGAATTACATAACTAAGAGATTACATGTGATATACGATGATATATATTCCCTGTTCGTGTGATAGTAGACTCTGTAGCCCTTGTCGTGGCGTACGCTGTCTACCCCCTATTCCTGACTTAAAAATGATAATGGCAACTTTGAAGGCGTGTTGTCAGCGTCACTGAAGTTTGCTTCCTCAAAGACAGGCCCCTTTTCAAGGTTCAGCTCAAACCCCTGGGTACAGCTGTTATCGCTTTGAAGGAAGATTTGGCAACGATCGATTTCTGGAGATTACCTTGCTTAACCTCAATAAATGTCGACCACCTGGCAGCACGGAAGACGATTTGGAGATGGGGCGGCAAGAAATTATCCATTGGATAAAAGGCCATGGCCGCGAGTTTATGGGTATTGAGTGGCGCTGAGTCGGGGAATTGGATATATCACGCCGATATGGGACTTTACAAAAGTAGGACGTTATGAAATAACCTTCAATATCTACGGCAAGGAGTCCTGGTGTTGCAAGTTCTGTTCTAAGGAGTATACTGTTGGTGGGGGCACTAATATCATCATCAAGCACTTAAAGGAGCGCCATTCCATTGACTTGAAAACACCACAAGAGCAACGCATTGATGGATATCAATCCACAATAGCTGTAGCCTTTGCCAGGCCACACACAATCAATCATAAACGCCGTAGACTCAACGATGTCACTGCTGTTAGGCCTTTAGATCCACGTGTTCTTGAAGATCTCTATGTGCGCTGGATAGTAGCATGTGGAATTGCATTCCGAATGGTTTCAATCCCCGAGTTCGGCACGTAAGTAGTATTACCTTTCATGATTTAAGGCTTTTATTAATATATATATAGCATGCTTCACTATTTAAATCCAGCCATCAATGAATGGCTGCCTCATAGCTCGACAACAATTCACGATTGGGTCCTTCGTAAATATACAGAAGAGAAGGTCATCATTCGACAGGCTGTTCAAGCTGCCCTTACAAATATACACTTTACAGTGGGCTTATGGACCTCTCCAAATTCCCTTGCAATCCTCGGCATTGTCGCTCACTATATATCAGCAACTGGTAATCTAGATAACTCTGTTCTTGCACTACGAGAAGTTAATGGCGAGCATTCTGGTGAGAACCAAGCTGTGGAAATTCTTGATGTTATCAACGACTATGGCATTGCTTCAAAAGTTGGTTATTTTGTAATGGACAATGCAACAAATAATGATACAATGATCAAGGAGCTTTCGAAAAAGCTGAAAGAGGAGCATGAGATAATATGGGGCCCTAGGCGACATAGATTACGGTATAACGGCCATGTGATCAACCTCGCTGTTCAAGCCTTTCTCTTTGCAAGTGATGAGGAGGACCTCTCACAGGATAATAATACGGAGCTATTGTCGTCGCCGACAGAAATAGAGATGGAGCAGTGGAGAAAGAAAGGTCCACTTGGTAAACTACATAACATTGTAGTTTATATCCAACGCAGCCCACAACGTATCGCCAGCTTTAAGTTGATGAGCAATAACCTATGTTTGTTGAGAGATAATTCAACACGTTGGAATAGCTGGTATTCAATGCTACAACGGGCGCTACGGGTACAACATGCTATAGAACTGTTCTGCGTAAAATTCAAGGAGAATGAGAATGACCTCCGTAAGTACATATTTATGTCTCTTAAATTTAATTATTTACTAATATTTAAGTAGTTTCACAAGGGGACTGGCAGGACCTTCGAAATATGGCCTGTATTCTCAAGAACTTTGCAGATGCAACACTTCACGTGTTTGAAACTGCGAAGAATGATTATTCAATGGACCTGTTCCTTGGTCCTTGTTGTAATGCTGGGTGGAAGAAGTTGGATAAATACTACAGTATGACAGACAGGACTTCGGCATATACAGCGGCGTTAGTATTATGCCCACAATGGAAGTGGACTTACTTCAAATCAGAATGGAAGGCTGATTGGGTTGCTGAAGCACGTGTCAAGGTTGAGGAGCTGTGGGTCAACAAGTACAAAGCATTGGCAGTTAGTGCAGATGATCGCAGAAGTTGAAGGTGAAGATACTGAGAAGCCGCTTTCGAATGAGTTTCTTACATGGCGTACACAAAAGCGGGGTATTGACGTTATTCAAGATGAATATACTCAGTATTTACAAGCCCCACTTGTTAAAACTGATGATGCGAGAGCATGGTGGGCTGAGCCTACTCAACGGGCTACATTTCCAAACTTAAGTGTAATGGCATTAGATTTGTTATCAATACCCTCAATGTCTGCAGCGCCTGAAAGGCTGTTCTCTGGTGCGAAAATCACGATTTCCGACCGTAGGAACAGGCTAGGTATTATGGCAATTCAAGCTGTTGAGTGCTTGAAGCCTTGGTTTAAGAAGAATAAGAGTACAGCTTTGCCGTTTGTAGATGATGAGCTGTCAACACCCCCAGATACATTGTTGCAAGAGGCAGCGATGACTATGATATCTAGCTAGTTCAATATGTTCTGAAATTCACAGGGTTATAGAGTACAGTTTTTACAGCTTCAATTTTTAACATTACATGAAATACTTAAGTATTGCCCGTATTAATACTTAAATATTGATACAGAGCTCACTAGTATCATATCAAGCTTCACCCGTACCGTATTGATACGGCCCGTATCATAATGGCCCGAATACTTAAGTATTATACTAATGGGAACACTGTTCTTGGGTCGATTTTTGGCGCCGCTCTCTGCGTTAGCTGGCTATTCAAACTACGTCGATTATAGTAGGGTCTATATGATAGCTGATATATTTGAATCGACGTATTATACATATTAAAATGGCTCAGGGATGTACGGGAATTAGAATATAGGGTCAAGACACGGCGCAAATGAGAAACGTGAGAACACAAACTCTCTTTACCACTTAATGTACGGCCCCTTCTTATTTTATACAGTAACACAATTCATATTATCATTTCTAGTGAATACAGAGGGGGGTTTCAAGCATGAATCGATATTGCTAGAATTCCAGTCCAAAACCTGCCCCGTCAAGCCAAACTTTGCCTGACGACCGTTTAATGCTCAAGTACCGATAGAGCTAACTTAGTATGTAAAACTACTTGCTTTAATACCTACGAATAATGCATGCATGAGAATAAAGAAGTTGATATTATGATAATACATAAAAGACGACCATTACGGCGCCTCCTGGCGCTGCTGTGACGATCAAAGTAGCCTTGCATACAAAAATGGCTTCGGTGGTACAGCCGCGCCAATTCTAGCATGTCCCCGCGACGCCATTCTTGTATGGCAGGTACCCCACAAAGAATCGCCCGTGTACACGCCAAATATTTTGTTATTCATGTAACGCTTTGGTCTATGAAATGCTATAGGGGTCTATTTGTTATATATTTACTATAAATACTCGTACATATTCTGTGGCGGTTGTAGCTTGCAAGATAGAAGCGCATACAAGAATGGCATCGCAGGGACATCTAGAGTTTCAGCGAACTCATTTTTGTATGAGGGGATACCTTTTAAAGTCCTGTTACATTACAAAAATGGCGTCGCTAGGACTTCCTAAGTTGGGACTTGCGCCTCCATACACGCAAATATCAGCATGTACCGCCAAAGTCCTAGCGAGCATAAATTTGAGTTCGGGGAGACTTTTGGGAGACTATGGAGGCAGAAGTACCAACACACCCATTTTTATAGGGCAGATACATACCCGTACCTCGAAAGTCCCAGGGAGCTTAAAAATGAGTTTGCTGCGACTTCCGAGTAACTGCACCAAAAGCCAACCTAAATAAGGGCTAACATACTATCCCCCCCCTGAATGATTGTCACCATCCACTATTTTGTTAAAAGGCCTCTCTGCCAGTGATCTCATCTTATTTACGCCATTTTACCTAAAACCGATCGCTATAAGTGGGTTTCCACAAACTTCAAAATAGCGGGTCTTTACAATCATTCAAAGGGGGGGATAGTAAAATTGAGTCACCTTTCGAGTTTATTATACACAAATAAATAGAAGTACCAGCGAACATAAAATAATTATGCTCATACCTTATGAATATAACACGTAATTGTAGACTATGAATATCATCCCTGATCCCTGACCCTGTCCCGCATACCCATACATCACCGCGGTGACAGCGGCTTATAATGTGAGAATGTAAGTTTATCTCAAATCACCTGTTGACGAGGTTACCAGCAGTAAATAAAGTGTAATTTGAATTGATAACTATAAGGCACCACTAGAATTGGTCTATAGGATAATCAAGTACTAGAAAACGCTATAATTAAGTGTTTTGCTATTCGAATTTTGGGCTGCCGCTTGTTTGGGAGTGCTTTGGCGAGTATAATCGTCCAACTTCACCATCGTCTCAACTTCATACCCCAAAACTCACAACGCTCACTGATACCTCCTACCTCAAGTCCCTGATATAATGAGTGGTCCCGGCACAATGATATCACGGACGGCATTCAAAACTTATCAATGAGTAAGTCAAATCGCCACCGTCCATCTGACGGCAAGAGGTAACCATCCGCAGACTAGTCCCGCCCCGAGGAGACGCCCACCATTGACCAGGCCATCGCATACGTACCGACGACAAAATCCAGCCTCGTGAATATACTAACACATGGTATAGGGGTCGCGGATACGCAGAGACCTGTCGGCGATTGAGCGAGACCTCTTCCACGACGTTTAGTGATGCTCTGCCCATTCGCACGAGTATTCCTGCTAACTAAGCAATTTCCCATCCTTCTGCAACTAAATCATCCAAATGGGCAGCATAGCAGTTGAGCCACCTGACAAGTGAAAAAAACCCTGTACACCACCTGTCTTGCAATCAACGATTGGCGTCCCACACATCCCATCAGAAATAATGGCATTTACGACACCAAAAACTGCACTGACTGTGTCGGCCTTCCAATGACGGTATTTAATGTCAGGATGCCCAGGAGGACGCTTTGGCTTGATGAACTTTGGTGCATAAGCCATTAGAGAAATAAGACTTGAGGAC